AAAGAATAAACCAGTTTTATTTAAGAAAGGACTTGTGTCCCTAAAGTTTCGTCGGAACGAATTTACGGAAAATTAACTAACAATATGATAAACTAACTGAGTTTTTCGAGTGTGTATGAAATAACGAGACTGGACAAATTTGGTAGAGAAAATTAATCATTTGTTTATTGTAAAAAAGACATAATGAAAGTGCAGCATATGTATTCGTTCACACAAAAATTCAATTATTTTTACTATAGTATGCTTAGATCCATAGTATGCTTAAATATGTTTTTACCAGACGATTTTCTAGTAGAACTGGACAAAAAAGCGTGCCTGAATTCAACAGATAAACTTGGATTATTTGTCTAGTTTGACAACGTCTCCTCGTGACCTTTGTTCTCTCAGAGCATTTATCTGCTATAACATTTGGGCAACATCACGTTAGCCAGCAAAAGTGCTAATCCTTTAAACCTGAACGTTATATGTTACCGCAATATCCTCTAGGGCAGAATAGACATTATCTACTAACGAGTTTATTTATTTCTTTTTAAAGCAAAGCCACATTGGGCTATCTGCTGTGTCCACCACGTGGAATCGAACCCCAAATTCTAGCGTTGTAAATCCGTAAACTTACCGCTGTCCCACCGAGGAATCTACTATTAATGAGAACAAAAATACAGCAAATAGAACAAGGTAGTCTCAACGATTTTCTGAACCATTTGTTTATACTAAAACTGCATACAAACTAAATAAACAAAGGATGTTAGAAATCTGTATATCACTAAAACAGGTAGAAAACATCATATGCAATGTGCTTCAGATGTACATTGCAAGTAATTTTATCACTTGCAGAACTAGTACCGGTGCGATATGCTACTTACTCTATTATGATCAAAACCAACAATGACAAAATAGTTGGCATGATAGCATAATTTGTTGGTCATTGTACTGAACACCTGTTATTGTTGTTTTTAGTCTTACAACAATTTTAAGTACTGTAGTATGCAGGCATACTACGAGGTTGTTATACTCTTATATAATATAATGTTGTTGTTTTTTCGAAAGTTTCGAGTCTGTAATTTTAACATACAACATCACTAACGGAAGTGGCTAAGTTTCCTTTGCCTTAGTTTACCTCCAAGATAGCATCCCAAGGTTGGGTCAACTTTGGCTGATAATTGATTCGTTGTTACATTGTTGGCGTTTATAAAGCTACGTTGCTCCAAATTCGGTTCATTATCGTATAAATGGCTGATTGGTAGCTGAAATTGTAATTAAAAATCTGCTTACTAATTAATAGTAGATAAGCAATTATATGTAAAAGAGTGTAGATCTATGAAAAAATGGTCTTTTTCCTTTTCTTCTTTTTTGTTTCCCTAGTATGATAATGACATATAATTAAGTTTTCTGTGCTATATGTTTTGAAAGTAGTAATTACTCCAAATATTCAATACACATAGACCATTGTGTAGCTTTGTGCTTAACAAGAAACCAACAAATAATCTTTTTATTATTAAAACACCACCACAATAATTTCAGTATTAATAATAATATTGCGAGATTGGTATTCCCCGGATTAATCATTCGTATTGACATTTTAAACATTATTATTATGGTAATATCCTTTTATATGATAAATTTTATGTTTGTTAAAAAGAGGGCATTTGGTAACAACTTATAACTCGAACTTTATTAGAAGGATATGAAACATAAGTGAATAACGTTTCACAGGGTTATCTGAGGCCTAAAGAGGCCTTAAATTCCATCATCGGAAGTGGAACACAGATAAGAAGAAAGTGATACTGCTGTATTTGTCAGTATTAGTTTCAGATTAAAGTGGACTAGGAGTACAACACATACACAATCTCAAAATACAACTTACCGATAAATTAACTAAATGTATCGACAATGAGGTAGCAAAGGTCGACCCCCCTCAATGGCTCAACGGTAAATCTGCAAATTTAGGACACTAAAAATCGGATTTAGATACCCGTGGTGGGCAAACTGTAGATAGCCCATTATGTAGTTTGTGCTTAACAACAATTAAATCAAAGAAACACAGGTCGAAATGATAAGGAAATAACTTAACATAACGTAATGTTTATGGACAACGAGGAACCTATTGGTCCATCTCGGCTGTCCATTCTCTAAACTAAACTAAAACTATCAAATACATAAATTTAAAAAATAATAATAAAAGTATGAAAGCCAGCCCTTATCATGCATATAGTTATCAAGTTTCTCTTAAACCAAAATAGCCCTGACTCTTAAGAATTTAGTGTTGAATAATACCAAAATTATAAAGATCTCTTTCTTTTGTTCGAGGTGAATTGAAATGAAGCTCTTCCAACAGCTCTGACATTGTCTATGAAAAACATTTGGAGAAATTGTCAAATTTATATATTTATGTACACATGTGAAAATATGAACAGAAATATCCTGAATCACATGGTTGACCTCAATAAACGCTGATGCTAGTATGGTTAGAAAGACTAAAGAAGTACAGTTATATGATCTCAAACTTTGAATATTCAAAGTAGGTAGCTAAAGTTTTCTTTGGCAGAAAGTTTAATTAAAATGTAACATGATATGTGCAAAACATTTTTCTTACGTTAATAGCTACAATAAAATATCTAAAATGTTTTCAAAGCAAAGACTTCATTGTGTTTAATTAGTTAGATTATGTAAAAGTATAAACATTAAAGTTGTGAATTTAACCCACTAAACTTGGCATGATAAAGTACAGTTAATGCTCTAATTTTCTCACTCAGTTTTCCATTTAAAATATTAATATTATAGTTGTGGATTCTTGTTTGACATACTCTTCAAGATTTATTAACAGTCATTAATGCACATATATCCCTTTCGAAAAATTATACAAACTTATTTTTTATTAGCTTCACATTTTTAAGA